CAGCCTCCTGTGTGGCACCTTGCCAAAGGCCTTCTTGAAATCCAGGTAGATAACATCCATTGGCTCTCCTTGGTCTACCCTGCTCGTTACTTCCTCAAAGAATTCTAGCAGATTTGTCAGGCATGACCTCCCCGTGATGAAACCATGCTGAATTTGCCCTACTTTACCATACACTTCCAAATATTCAGAAATCTCATCCTTTGTAATGGACTCCAAAATTTTACCCACGACCGAGGTTAGGCTAATCGGCCTGTAATTTTCTGTCTTTTGCCTTACTCCCTTTTTAAACAGCTTTGTCACGTTAGTGATTTTCCAGTCCGCTGGGACCCTCCCTGACTCTAGCGATTCCTGAAAGATCACCACTAATGCTTTCACTATCTCTTCAGCTACATCCTTTAGAACTCTGGGGTGTAGTCCATCTGCTGCATCTCCTGAATTACTCCCAGAAACTCCTGCCATTGCTGTTCCACTGTCTTTCCTGCTCGGCTCCTCTCCCAGTCAATTCTGCCCAGCTCCTCCCTCATGCCTCTGTAGTCATCTTTATTCAGCTGTAATACTGTTACCTCTGATTCTTTCTTCTCCCTCTCAAACTGCAGAGTAAATTCTATCATCTTATGATCACTGTTTCCTAAGGGTTCCTTTACCTTAAGCTCCCTTATCAAGTCTGCCTCATTGCACAACACTAAATCCAGTATTGCCTGATCCCTTGTGGGCTCCACCATGAGTTGCTCCAAAAAGCCATCTTGTAGACATTCCACAAACTCCTTTTCTTGCAATCTACTACCAACATGATTTTCCCAGTCCACCTGCATAATGAAATCCCCCATGATCACTGTGACTTTGCCTTTCTTACACCAGCAGATAGAAAAGGAATGTATCTTGCGCCCTAGCTCCTAACCACTGTTTGGAGGCCTGTACACAACTCCAACTATGGGTTTTTTACCTTTGCATTTCCTCAATTCTACCTACAAAATTCTACACCATCTGACCCTACTTCGCTTCTTCCTATTGATTTAATTTCATTTCTCACTAATAAGCAACCCCACCCCCTCGGCCCACCTGCCTATCTTTTCGATAGGATGTATATCATTGGATATTCAGTTCCCAATCCTGTTCCCCTTGCAGCCACGTCTCCGTGATGCCTACCACGTCATCCCTGCCGGTTTCGATCTGCGCCACAAGCTCATTTACCTTATTCCTTATACTGCATGCATTCAGATATAACACCTTCAGTCCTGTATTAACCCTACCTCTTCTCATTTTCATTCATTTTTCCAGTGTTTCCAGCATCCTTTTTCAAGAATATTTAAATATATTTTTCTTCAACATTTTGAACAACCTGTTTAAATGTTTCCTCATGATCATTTGCCAGCATACATTCAATTCTGTTTATCTAATCAACCTTTGCCAATACTTGACGCATACTTTGCCACCAGCAGGCTATCTTTAGCTGACATGGCAGTGCATATGTTGTTCAATGTAACATGAGAATCTAGCATGTGTGGGATAATGTGGCATTGAAAGATCCAAGAGACATTTATTACAGCACACTAAGATGTACAGATATTACATTCAGAGGCAATTTTGTGTCTGGGCGAGCACAAAACTACCTGGTTACAAAGAATAGCGTGATTCCATGAGCATGTCATGCCACTCATAAGCTGAGTTAAGATCGAGTCTGAGGCCTTTATAATCTCAAGCCACATTCTATGATACAATGATTATATCATAAGCATGTCTCTTTAAAGTATACTGATATACTGACCACAAGACCTAACACAGCAGCTCTCCCCTCATACATCTATAATCAGCTTTAAGTTCAAGATTCTTGTTTGGGACTGGAGTGCATTGCTTACAATGTAGAATTCCATCAGATTTATAATCCTTTTTCTTCCCAGTAGATCTTTTACAATAAGATTATTAATTAAACCTGCCTCATTGCATAATCTTAGATTGTTTTTTCTTATTTATTCATGGGATGTGGGTTTTGCTGATAGGCCAGCATTTATTTTACTAATCGAGAAGGTGGTGGTGAGTTGCCTTCTTGAATTACTGCAGTCATAAATTAACTTTATCCTTATGTAGTTTCAAAATGTATCCTAGGAAACCTATGAAGTTATCTTACAACCTTACAGGCAAGCGTTGCCAATTTTTAAGTCCAGTCTATATGAAGGTTGGAGCCCCATAGGATCATAATGTTGCCTTTGTTACAAGTTCTAGGGGTAAAATCTTAGGTATTTGAATGACGTGGGCTATGGTGAGATGTGTGGCAAGGTTGTAAGAGAATTCTGAAGAAAACCCACCTCAATGTTGGGAGGAACTTACACCATATTTCTTGCTTTTCATAGCAATGTAGTGATTTCAATTTAGATTTATTGTCACATGTATATAACAATATAGTGAAAGGTGCTTTTATGCATATTATATGCAAAGTGTTGCCACACTCCAGTGTCATCTTGAAACACTGAATAAAGTACAAGATTTTACTGCAATAGAGTTCATCTTTCTCTCTTCTTCTTTCTCTTCCACTGCTCCTCCAGTCACTGCTTGGCATTGGCCGGGGTCTCTATTACAGGCCTCCGCCACTGCCACTTCCACAATTGCCGCATCTAAACCAAACCCATGGGCCTAGGGAAGCATGGGTTCCCTATCTTCTGTGTCCCATCTGATGATCCTCCAGACGCTGCCACCGGTCATCGGTTTGTCAGGGTCTTCCACCATCCCCTTCACCAATAATTCCTCTCCTTCAGGCGCCCAGGCCTAGCTGAAGACCCAGAGCCTTGGCTTCAGCCTGCAAGTTTGGGCCAGGTGAGTCAGCCCAGGACCTGCTCCTCGTTCACTGGGAGATCCCGGGCTGGGGTGGAGCCGTGTCTGGCTCGTCTTGGCGTTGCTGCTACTACCACCGGAGGACTCTTCCTTCATCCTTCACTCATCTGAGCTTCTACCAACACAATGTAAAAATAGAGTTTCTTCCTGGGTAGTGATGAGCTACCAATTATTGCGTGTTAAACGGCTTGATAATGGCACAACTTGCCTCCTTAATAGTTAACTTCCTGTCTTACCAAATTCACCAAACAAGCTAGACACTGAGGAAAGCAGAGCAAGTACTTGGTGGATTTAGCTTGTGTTTGCTGCTATCGATTCCAGTGCTGCATGCAACCAAACTGCAGGCCAGGGTACGATCCATGGGCACCAGCTGCACACATTCCTTGTCCATGTACATGGGCATCTGGAATTTGGCAAACCTTTGTGACCATCAGGGCATGTTTCCAATGCACTGGCAGTGTGCTCTGGAAACACATAACAGGGAGCACCAGCAACCAGCACTGAAATTTGGACACTTTGTATGTAGGGAGAGGTACCCAGATCACAGATCAGACCAGGCAATAACTCAGAGCAGCTCGGATGCTGTCTGAATGCTAACTCAATTCATGCCTACGTGCATGGTCACACCATTCATGCAGTGTTCCCTCAAATTTTCTTGATGATAAAAAATTCTTTAAGACTTGTATAAGGGGAGAATGAGGATGGAAGTCTCATTTTTCTTGTCTGTATGTTACATAACACATGTTTGAAATTGCATCCTAAGAGTAGAGGCATGCAAAAGCCACATTTCATATTTCATAAAAACCGAAAGAACTGCGGATGCTGTAAATCAGGAACAAAAGCAGAAGTTGCTGGAAAAGCTCAGCAGCTCTGAAAGCATCTGTGAAGAAAAAATGAGAGTTAGTGCTTCAGGTCTCGTGACCTTTCCTCAGAGCTTCCTCAGAACATTTTCTATTTCCTTTTGTGTTCAGAGTGTGGACTAGAAAAAGGAAGATCCTGCTTTGAACCAATGAGACTATGCAAAGAGATGGCTGCAGTTTTAACCATCGTGTTTACATTGTGAGTTGTGTATAATGTTGCACTTTGCTTGAAACAGTGAGAACAAAATCAAGTTTGATTCCACCCTCTGGTGACTGTCTGCAGAGTTTCCACATTCTCCTTGTGTCTGCGTGCTTTCCTGCTTGTACTCTGATTTTCCTCCTACAGTCCAAAGATGTGCAAGTTAGGTGGATTGGCCACACTAAGCTACCCATACTATCCAGGGATGTGTAGGTTAAGTGGGTTAGCTATGGGAAATGCAGGGTTACAGGGATAGGGTAGGGGGTTGGGTCTGGGAGGGATTCTCTTTGGCAGGTCAGTATGGACTTGATGTGTGGAATAGCATGCTTCCACACTGTAGGGATTCTATGATTCTATGAAAAGCAGACACCATGGATTCTATGGGTTCTGAACAAGAAGGTCAATTGTTTGACAACAACATTTTGATAATTTCCTAACTAGGTGACCATGGCTTGCATGGAGCCAGTGCAAGAGAGAAACCTCGAGCCTACAAAGACAAAGCACCAAAATCATTCTCTGGGTGTGTCACTGTCTCCTGTGTGATGGCACCAGAAAGTCTCCAGTAACAGTCATCAGTCATCTTTCTCTAACACTAACCCTGTCGAAGAAGGAATAAAATACTTTCGAAGACAGTGAAAGATGAATTCTCAAACAGCAAAGGAAAGAGAGTGACAACCTTGAAAGAATAACTTGAATTGGCAAGAAAACAAAAGAAACAACCTAAACACTCTGTCTTCTGGTGGTAGTGAACCTTATTTTCCTGTTTTGTTTTTGTTTTCCACCCTTAACCTCCACGTACACCTGCCACTTTGTGTCTGTCTGTTTGCAAAAAATGGACGTTTTAAAAGGGGTCGAACTTAGGTTATAGACAGTTAGCAATTCAAAATAAACTGTTATTTTCTTCTGTATAGAAACCCTGTTAGTGTTTTCTTTTGACCTGAGTTAATTGGTCAGATAAACTGGGGGCTTTGGACTGTTTAACTAATTTTTTTCCCATTTGTGATGTCTTTGGGAATTGTGGAACTTGATTTCCAGCACACGACTTTGTCACAACAGTGCCAAGGATGAAAACACCTCGTGCTCTTATTTTCAGAAACATCTGCATCTCTGCCTACCTCCATTTGCAAGGTTATCCAGGAATCTTGGGGGTTCATTAACATCACTTAATAAAACCGTAAGTGTTTCGAAATCTGAGTATCCCTTATTATCTGTAACATAGATTAGCAGGACGTAATTGGATTGAGTTTCATAGTCCAGTCCAGTGTTGTCTGAGACCGTCACCTGAAATTTAAAAGAAGAATAATTTATTTTGTGCTTTGCTGCTTGAAGCTCCAGGAGACTGTGCTGTAATAATTCAAACTACAAAGAAAGGCACTTTCTACGTATAGCTGAGCTTACAACTTTGTGCACAAGGTGACCTTGAAAGGTGGTTGTGGTGTGCTGCTGGTTAGATTACTTCATTCAATTTACAACCCCAATTACAAGGCCATTTTAAAAAAATATATATGGATGTAATTTCTCTAGTAGGGGTGGAGAAACTGATACTTCTCCCACTTGGGCTAGGGACAAAGCTCTCGGGCTTAGAACATCCAAACTAAACAATTTACTGCAGTCACTAAGGCTCAAGTATTGTCTTCCGGTAAAACTTGGGAATCTATAATCAGCATTTACAGATGGGGAGAAGAAGAAAATTAATATAGAGAAGACAATACAAAGTATAACCAGTTTAATTTCTTAGAAGTGGCCAAGAATTTCAGCGATGTCCTGATGCACCTTGGCTGCATTTGCCTGTGAAACTCACATCTTTCTGATGAGAAGATTATTAATTATTTATTAATTGGACGTTAAATCTATTCAGGTGATGGATGAATATTAATTAAGAATCCACCTGTGTCTCTGAGAAGGTAAAAGGTAGAGGATTTTCTTTTGAGGCATATGACCTGCTATGTGTGAATCTCTCTAAATAAGCGTATAAAGACATGGCTCCAGAGTTTTATTCTTCACTATTTAGCTATCTGAGTTCTAATAACCATGCATTAGTCTTTTAGGTCCAAATGTCTGATCATCCGGAAGGAGAGATCATTGAGAAACAGCTACAAAAGTGAGCATGAATTCACTGCCAATGAAAAACAGAACTGTCACATCAGGTCAAATTTTCCAGTGTTCTTCAAAACCAGTCCTCTCTTCTTGGATCCTTCAGATGAAACTTATGTCACCAAAACCCACCTCTGCAAATACTTGTCCCTTTAATCTCGAAACAGTCCCACCTCTTCTGTCCCCTTTCATTCCAGCGAGCAACCAACTCTAGCAAACATACTGCACTTACAGTAGTAAATTTGAACTTAACAACACAGCAGTATCTGCTCTTTGTCTCTACCACCCTCTGCCTCTATTAAGGAATATGTGAAAATTATCACTTCATATTTCAAAAGGTTTCAGTTTGAGTTCCCATGGCAATCAGATCAGGTGGCCAGTCTCTGCGTGGAGAATTTTATGGATAACCTCACTATCTGCCTTCTCAGACCATTCTGTTTTACCACAGAGAGATGATGGTGTGATGATGATAATATCACTTGACCAGTAATTCAGAGGTACATGCTAACGTTCTGGGGACAGAGGTTCAATTCGCACCATAATAGCTGGTGTTAATTAAATTCAATTAACAAATAATTCTGAAATTGAAGCTAGACTGCTCAATGGTGACCATGAAGCTCCCATTAATTGTTATAAAAATCCATGGATACATGCATTACACTGTGAGTCTGACTGATTTCTGGTGTAATTCTATTTGTACTCCAGATTATTCGGTAGGTGATGTCCAATAGTGGACTCACATTTACTATTGGACACAGTGATCTGAGGTTTGCAAGTAAGGGCTGGTTGAGCATGAAATGCACACTGCTCACAGCAAATGGGCCAAGGCATATTTTTTTGGGTACAGTTAGTCAGTCAATGAAACGTATGATTTGCATGCCTAGCATCACACTGGCACCAAAACTTGTATTTCAGGTGATTCGTTTGTTTGGTAGACAAAACGTCATCTTTTTCGACTGCAGCATGCAGTCAGCTGAGAGAACCACTTGTGGTGTTATTGTAAAGTAGGAGCGTGAAACATCTAGCTTCACTTGTTCAAATTTTTGAAGTACCTTTTTTCCTTCCAGGGGAATTTGAGATGGACTGTTCAGGGCCAAAAGTAATGGCCATGAGACCTTTTATGGGTTTGCATGATATACAGCTAACAGCTGTATTTGTTTATTTGTTCGTGGGAGGTGGGTGTTGCTGGTTGGATGAGAATTTATTACCCATCTCTAATTGCCACTGAAAGTGCTAGTGAGCCACCTTCTTAAACCACTGCAGCACTGTGGGTATACTCATTGTGTTGTTTTAACTGGTTTTAACACTTAAGACTCATTCTTTGTAGGCAAAAGGAATTCACCTTTTGCACTGAGAAATGGTCATGGACACTGCTGATCCCTGCTGCATTCCACATGGCAACACCTTGACCGATTGGAGTCTTCCTGTCCGGTCTGAGTTTCTTCAGGCAACTAGGATTGACAGTTAACAGTTTCCAGTGCATCTGTATACTAGCCATAGACTAACCATCACCGTCTTCTCATGGTATATAAATTGATATTCCCTCTTCACATTTGCTTTCTTACATGCCTGTTCTGATGAGTGTAAGACAAGAAAACTTCATTTTAAAAAATCTCTTTTTAACAATGTTCAAGTTCTCTACTAGTGAAGGAAATATGGGGTTCTTGACTGGTCTGGCCTATATATGACTCCAGACCCACAGCAATATGATTCAATTTTGTCTGCCCTCTGAAATGGCATAGCAAGCCACTCAGTTGTGTTGAAACACCACAAAAAGTCAAACAATGTGGATGGCAGCAGTTTAGGATTTAAGTGGTTTAAGGCTCTCAAGGACAGTTAGGAATAGGCAACAAAGGTTGGACTTGCCTGTGAAACCCATATCCCCATGAAATTTTCAAATTTGAAGAAGATATTTTAAACATAACTATTTTGTTATGTCAAATCTTCATCACCATATTATAAGCTTCTGACATTTGGCAAGAGGCAAAGCTGTTGTACTTGGAATAAAATAATAACATCAACATATGGAAATGACTAGAGGGGAAGACTATCTGATCCATCAAGCCTGCTCCAGGCAGATGTGATCAATGAGCATTGTGGGTACACGGCTGCTGGTGAAAACAGAATGTTTAATCTTCAATGGAAGATTCCAGAAAATTTCCAGAAGATACTTCTCAATCCTTTTAGACAATTAAAACTAGTCCAGGCAGGTACATTGGACATGTTCACAATACCTAGCATGTTATCCATATTTGATAAGGTTTTTACCAAAGTCAGGAACTTGCCCATACCCTGACGAAGGTTTGGAGAGAGTCACTTGCAGCACAGGCTGGAGGTCTGCTTCAAAGGGAAGATGAGACCTATCAAACACCTAGACTAACCCCATTATTGCATACCCTGTATATGCGATGTCTTAGTCTTCCCACCTAATTAAGTCGAAATAGTCACTCAGTTGGAATATAATTAAGTATTCTAAATATTATGTGCAATTCTATAAAATCAAGTAAATCTGAACGTCTCTAATGTGAACAAACACAACTTTTTTTAGGCTTCTTTGATTTTCACAGGTTTTCTCAATGAATTTTCTAAGTCCTAACATTGCACAAGTTACATACAATTTCCTAGCACCACAATAAGAAATTGTAAGGAAAGAAACAATCATTCCTTTTATTTATGGAAGAATTTGGTACCAAGAATGGAGGATGAGTGCTTTTTACATTCACCAGATTTCCCCTCTCTCTGAATGTGAAGTTAATTTCCCATAGTTATGCCAATTTTAAAATGACCTTACCTCCAAGTCTGTGCCACTTGTAATTGAGATAGCAAAAAAGTTGTTGACTGGATTGGTATTTGCTATTTGAGGAGTTAATGTAACATCAGTACTTGTTGTAATGACTGAAAAATTAAAGATAGCAACTCCTGGAGGAGTGTCTTCTTTTATTGTGATGGTAGCTGGTAGATTATCTATCTTGATAAATCCACCGACACCTTATGGAAAATTAGAAAAATGCTTCATGTTACGTTAAGTTGTGCTGGAATACATTAAAAAGTAACTAGATTACAAAATGATGGACGTTACTCAGGAGGTCCGGTAGTTCAGTGGAGGGAGAGAAGCATTGACATTTCAGATTTGTGACCTTTCACATTGTGAGCATTTAAGGCAATTTCAAGCATAGTAAAGGCTTCTTTAGACATCTAGAAAAGAACGGAGGAGTCAAAGTGAACATAGGCCCAGGGAGAAGGGGCTTAGGAAATAATAATGGGGAACTATGAAATGGCAGAGGAGTTTAATAAATACTTTGCATCAGCCTTCACAGTTGAAGACTTTCCAAGAATACTAAATAATTAAGCAGTAAAACGTGGAAGATGAAATAAAAGCAATAGCTTTCATTCGATTAAAAAGTACTATGGAAACTAAGGCACATATGATGGATTGATGGACCTGGTGGGTTGCAACCTAGGATATTAAATCAAGTTCACTACAGAAAGAATGGATGCACTGATACTAACTTTTCAAGAATCCTTAGGTTCTGGGAAAATGTCACAGGATTAGAAAACTGCCAACTCAACACTCTTATTTAAAAAGGAAAGGAGACAAAAAATCAGGTAACTATAACTCTGTTAACTTAACATCTGTCATTGAGAAAGCTGGCATTGGATGTGAAATCTAAGGCAAGTTTTATGTATTGCTATTTATGTGTTCTGAATCAATGCCAGTATGAATAAAACTTTACTCGAAGTTTTTTATGTCCAAATTGGCAAGGTTAGAATGCATTTACTCCAAATTGCATTAAAGAGAAAATGACCCACATCCTCTCCCCTCCCTCAAAGCTACCACATTTGTTGCCTAATGAATTGTTCAAACCTTGTAGCTCGCTCTGGCAGCTGTTAATATTACTATTATATAATTTTTTTAAAGTATTATTTGTTCTATGAAGGTGTGTAGTCTGTGTCCACACTGGAAGGAAGGTGGATATTTCTGATTTCAGGTTATCATCTATGAACAAACACCAAGTTATTCCATTTGAATTTTTCTCGTAATTCTAAACACTGAGTTTGGTACGACAACATTTATAGAGCACCTTTAATACATAAAAAATGCCTCAAAGAACTTTGCTTGCCATTATCAATGATTTACATAGAGTTGTTTTTGATGCAAATCTTGTTCAAAACAGTAGGTTCCAAGAGCAGCTTTAAGAAAGAGAAAGAGGTAAGGGCTTTAGGAGAGAAATTCAATAACTTAGATGCTAGACAGCAGAAGGCACAGTAACCATAGGAGGAGTGGTATGAAAATCAGCCAGAAAAGTAGGAGTACAGAGATCTTGGATGTTGTAACAGGTTACAGAGATAGGGAACGGTGAAGCCATGGAGAAATTTGAACACAATGTTGTAATGAGAATTTTAGAATCAAGGTGTTGCTGGATCAGGAACCAACAAAATTCCGTGAGGGCTAATGTTTGAACTGAACTTGACACTAATTACGATATAAGAACAAAGTTTTGGATAAGCTCAGAGATGGGTAACTAGCCAGAAGTTTCTAGTCTAACAACAAAGTATAACAAGATGTAATCACATGAATACAAACTTGCCCCATCTTTACATTCAGTAAAATTAACAGCATGAGTTTAATCACAATTGAATTATTATTTTAAGTGCGAGAATCAGACTATAACATACACACAGCTTGTACCATTCACACATTCTTATCTTGTTTTTTTAAACTTATCAATAATTTTGTAATTTTGTTTACACTTTGTAAAAAAGCATTTGATACAGTTGACAAGATTACACCTTTGGGAAACAGCATATCATTTTTTGAGGATGTAATATAACAAACATGTTATTATTAAATATGTTATTTACTAAGTGCCAGTGGATTGCATGATAAATAAAACTTTCTTTGTTTAAAAATACAATGGAAGCCTTAAATGTTTAAGAAAAGTAAAGCAGCTTTAAATCCAATTAGCAGTTGCAATGCCTGTAAAGAAACTTACCAGGTATTCCTCCTCGGAAGAAGTCAACAATGAGACACATTTCAAGGATGCTGCCAATTGTGTCCATGTTTATTTACCACAGACCTTCCCGTCCTTGTTGCTCAGCCTTGTGGCAGTGTGGAGCTGATTGCTCTGAAGCCCTGCACATGAACAAGCTGGATCAATTGTGGTTTGTGCAAACTTGGCCAGCTTATTTGATCTGAAATGTGTAATGGACAAGCCCAGTGAAGCACATCACAACACCATTAGGGAGTCAGCTCACCATGGCCCTAGCAACTTTTCAATTTCTTTGTGTTTCCTTCTCATTATCAATCACATCTCATTTTATTCAAGCATTGTTAATACGTTAATTGTTAAAAATAATGTGTGTGTTCTGAGAGATTATACAACAAAACTAGAATAATATACACACTAAAAGGTGTGGTTTGTTGCTATTAAGGCACTCTCTACTCTATAGCTTTAAGAGCTTCATTTTGCAAATGCTCCACTTTCCTTACTATCGCAGACATCTTTAGTGACTAGTTTCATGGCTAAAACTCCAGAATCCAGCATGCTTATACTCATGATTTGTTGCTGAATTTTCCTGTCACAGTTGTGCCATTATAAAGGTGAACTATAAACAAAAGATCTTCACTAAGAGCAATGGGGGCATCTTCCTCCTACCGGTCTACCCGGACCTTAAATCTAATTGAGGCAGCCTAAATTGTGCACAGCAGTAGGCTATGGAAGGTGGTTGGAGGTCAGAGAGGGAATCAGAATATTGCAACTTGGATTGGACTACCTGCAGAAGTCTTCCTGTTCCCAGTTATCGAATGATCAAGAACTTGGATGTTGTGAAAGTTATTTAAAATATAAATGTCTTTTTCCAGAATTACATTGTAGTAAATTGCTGACAATCACTTGTATACAGCATTGCGCAAGTAGTGATGTGGGGAAAAGTTTCATCTTACTGTTTTATATCAGCAAATCCATTCATATTTGGACAAATGTGTCTGGCATCTTGTGGAAATGATCGAACAAGATTGATGCAAATACACATAGAAACACTCTTTTCCTTACTTGATCTAACTTTCTGGGAGCTAAGGCAAGTGAGTCCCTGGATACCCTTAAACATGAAGCATGTATTCATCTTCTTTGTTGTCCTACCTCTTGACCTGCGAATTGACTAAAATCTGTCTGGTAATTTGGGTAAAACAGAGCTGTGCTCAGAAGGACGTTTTTTAAGATTCTGTGATATTGTGAGGGCCTTTGTATGCTGTAGACAAAGGCTGAGAAATCATAGCCAAAATGCCCACTATTTTATGTTTTCTTGTCCACTGCATGCGAGATTCCACCACTGGTGCAAAGTCTTGCAACATTTGCCATTTTATATCATTAAAAATACACCTGACTTCATATTTACTTCAAAATTGCAGACTATCTGGTTGAACAATTGAATATCGAGATTCTGCAATTTAATTCATGTAATCTAATAAGTGGATGTGTATTTGTTATTGTAACTGAGTTTCAGCTTCTTTTGGCATCTTAAAAGGATGTGACACAGTGGATATAATAATGGATCAAATTATCTATATGGGATCAAGCCCAATGCTGAAAAGAATTTTGAGAACCATTTGCTAAAGTGTTCTCATTTCAGAAATTGACCCCTTCAACTAGAAAAATGCACTGAACTTTCACTATATCATAAAGATACAAAGATAATCTAAGATACTGGAAGCCAACTAACATCATGTCAGTTGCAGGCATATGAGTGCACTAAAATCTGCTATTAGGGACAGAGTGATGGAGCATATTAACCAATACAAGGAGAGGCAATATGGATTTCAGCGTTAGTCATATGTAATGAAACTAGTTGAAAATATCAAGGAGATTGTTAACACGTTAGATGGGCACATGTTCATGGATGCTATTTTTATTGACTTCTAGAAGTCATTCAGAAAGGTTTCAAATAAAAGATAATTAACAAAAAAATGATCATTATGGAATTGGAGGTCTTCTAATGACTTGCACATGGAATTGTTTAGGTGGTAAGAAACAGAGAGAGGGGATAGTATGTGCTTGATTATGACTGATTGTATCCTTCAGTGATCTGTAATGGGGTCACAGCTTTTCACTATATTTGTAGTTGACTTAGATGAAGGAATAGAGGGCCATATATTTAAGTTTGTCCACAGGATTGAGTTAGGTCCCAAAGTAAATAGCGTAGATGGAGCAGAATGTTGCAAAAGAACATTGACAAATTAAGTGTAGCAAAATTGGTCAGACTTAACATGGATTTATAAAAGGGATGTCATGTCTAACAAATTTATTGCAGTGTTTTGAGGATGCTGCTTGTAGCATAGATTATGGAGCATGTGGGTATGATGTATTCAGATTTTCAGGAGGTGTTTGATATGGCCCCACACAAAAGGTTAGTCAATAAAATTAGAGCACAAGGGATTATATAAGTATGGATTGAAAATTATTTAATAGACAGAAAGCAGTGAACAGGAATAAACAGATCATCCTTAGTACAGCAGATTGTTACGAATGGGTTACCACAATGATCAGTGCTAGGTTCATAGCTGTTCACAATTTTTGTATGAATGTTTTGGGTGTGACGACCTTTTGCCATATTTTCAAATTTGCTGATGACACCAAACTGGGTGGTAATGTAAATTGTGAGGAACATGCAAAGAGACTTAAGGGGACTTGGAGAGGCCATGTGAATGAGTTGGAATATGGCAGGTCAGTGAGAAGTTAATTTGCTATGGTAGAAAAAAATAGAAAGGCAGAATGTTTCTTAAATAGTGAGAGGTTGGGAAGTGTGGGTGTCCAAAAAAGACCTGGGTATCCTTGTCAGTGATATCACTGAAAGCTTGCAAGCCAGTGCAGCGAGCAGTTAAAAAGACAAATGGTATGTTCACCCTCATTGCAAGGGGATTTGGGAACAGAAATGAAGGTGTATTGTTGCAATTTCATAGAGTGTTGGTGAGACTTCACCTGGAGTATTGTATGCGGGTTTGGTCTCCTCATCCGAGGAAGGATATACTTACCATGGAGGTATGCCAGATTAATCAGTGGAATGACAGGATTGCTTTTTGAAGAGAGGTCAAGGAAACTAGGAGTGGAATCTTTCCAGTCCCAATCAACTTGGGCAATGGTGAGTCAGTTGGAAAATATGATGAGATCGGAAAAAATAAAATTTGCAACTGTCAGAAAAATTAAGTGTGATTCTGTAACCAAGTTATGAACACAGGGTGAGAATCTAACTACTGAGATTCATAAAGCACACTGACACATTGTATTGTAATGCTGCAGCAAGGACAATTTGCACGCAGGGACAGGAACCCAGCTCATGGACTCAACAGGGGGCTTCTCAGGATCGTAGCTTGCCCTCTTAGTGTTCACTCACTTTGCACCTGCTCAGATGCTCAGAACATCCCTGCCTGGCCTTGCCCTTTTGTGCTTTTCCCCTAAAGCCAGTGTTTAAAGGCTCACAGTCCTTTGGCCTTGCCTTGCCTTTTAGCATAGTCACAAAACCAGGCAGCTTGCCCTGGTTGAGAGCAGTGATCAGTCAAAGGGGTGGATACTCTGCTGTAGGCCACTTTGTTAGATCAATCTCACACATCTATACGCCAGCAGCGTATACGCCAATACATTGTGCATCAACCAAATGGACATGTCTCAAAGGGGCATAGTCATTAATCGAGTCAAAGGAAACACTCTTCAGTCAGGGGATCCAGGCACAATAAGACAAGGACATTGTCTGATCTCAGTCAAGGGGCTAGGGCACGGTCAGTCAGTCCTGCTCGTCCAGTACAACCATTTTGGGGAATTCACGGGGTGTCATTCGGGGAACAGAGAGATCTGTCAGGGGTCCAGTCACTCCTCAGCTGGAGCTATCTGTCCAAGTTGTTCAGAATGGTGAGCCCCAGTTAGTCCTGGGGTCAGCTCCGTGAGAGACAAGAAGAGTCATTAGGGGCCATTGCTGTGGTCGGGATGTTGGAAAAGTACATTATGTGAAATTGGAGACCACATGCTGGGTTGCAGAGAAGACCTTAATTAATTCTGCCAGTGAGAAACTCAGTATATAAGTGAGATTCCAAAGTTTGGATTGGTCTGGGACGAACTTGCAGTACAGTCCAGACAGAATGTCCTTCGGCATAACCCTAGCTTGCTGTGCCCTGCACAACAGGAGCAAGCAAAAAGGGGATGTGATGGATGCTTAAGAGTTGGAGGGGGCAGCAATCTTCCAAGGAGCGAGATGACGACATTGACCAGGAGGAACATCAGCTTCAACATTATAGAGCAGTGCAGCACTAGGCACAACAGGATGTACTTAATTGACATCCTGTTCTAGTAAGTATGACCTGGGTGCAGCAATCACTTAGAAACTGTTAATTTGCTGCTGTTTGAAAGGCAAATGCTCCCTACCTGATCCCAGAGGCAAATGCAACTTCTAGCTGTTTCTTCTTCACTTTTGCAATTGTTGAATAAAGGTGAACAATTTCAAGCATTTAAAGCCTTTCCAGTATGTAATACTCCCATGTTGAACAGTGAGATGTCAGACACTACTGGACACTGGGTTACAAAGAGTAACACTACCTCAGACATGGCTCTGAGTTGGAATGGCACAAAGGACGAGTCCTAAATTGCAATCTTTTTCTGAATGTGAACTTGGAATTGCAATGACTTGGCACCTATGCCACCTATATGCCCTCAGGAGCTTTTACTTTTTGTTCCCCTCCCATTACGTGTATTGTGAAGGGCAGCTCCTGACTGGCAGCACTCCACCTGGTGCATGGCCAGGCTTTAAAAATGGCGGAAGCACCTGGAGATCCTAGCAGTGGCTAATGCTTCTGCCCTGGCAGGAGGGAATGGTGTCGTAGAGGAGTGGTATGTAGCTAATGGCATGGGATTCAGAGAACAATGGGGGTAAAATGCTTGAACTCTCATATAGAAACCCTCCATGAAACTCGCCAGAATTTTGGCACAGTGTTTTTTTTGGTAAAATGCAGCCCATTATCTACAATCTCAAAGAATGAAAGGTGATCTCATTCAAACTTTACAGGTTGGATATAGATAGGATGTTTCCCTGGCTAGTGGGAAGAAGACATAATCTGAGGATAAGGATCCAGCCATTTAAGATAGAGATGAGGAGGAATTTCA